AATATTTAATTGTAAGTAAATATTTTAGTGAAACTAATTAATTTTCGTTAGGTGAAAAACACTTTTTGTTGCAAGGTCGGAATACATAGAATTCTGTCATTGCCCTTTGCTCTTTGTGAAATTTATTCATCTAATTACGAGAAAGATCAGTAATTTTCATATATAAAACATTGCCCCTGTTTTAGGTAGTAATTTATAAAAACACTACCTCAAAATTACTTCATAAAGTAATGAAGCAATGATATACGTGCGTAATATGCATTTATGATATCATGGAATAAAGTAGACATCTTGTGAAGAATAATTACATGAATGCGGTTTAAAACTCTAACACCACTCACTCACTCGAATCATCCCACACACTGATTCTATGTATAGCATATTAATGAAATTACGCTTTCAGTGAACTATAAATGTATCCTTTAAACCTTAGTGTAATTAATAAATTTTCAGAATCCACGGTAATATTATGAGTATTAATTGAGTAATTCAAGCAACACTTTTCCCATCCTCTGTAGGTCTCTAGCAAGGAGAAGAAAATTGAAACATTGAAATAAGTTGAGAAAAACGAAATACAGTGAATTTTGTGAGGAAAAACAAACTAATAACCACTAGAGACCCACTGAGGATGGGAAAAGTGCTTCCCCAAAGTAAACTCTGGGTAATAAATAATAAAATTATTGAACTTTTTGTGGACGATTATTTCCTTTACTATATTATGGATTACCACAAGATATCTGCTACCACCACGGAATTGAATAAAATCAGACCAAACTACTGGTTTAAAACAGGGGCATCTAACTTCGCACACTGTTGCTGTTCTAACAGGCGGTGCAGCCTGAACGGCTCGTGGAGCGCGTGGCAGAGGCAGTGTGAAATGCTTAATTCGGCGAAGCGGGAGCTGGCAGTCTAATAGGTCAGTGGGCCAGAACCGAGCGGATTCCGCCGTTGATTGTAAGGCCACAATCACCTCGCCTCAGCCCCTTCCTCCTTCCCACCGCTTCAGAACGCAGTTGCCACTGGCGGTGTTGCCACGACAGACGATTTCTTGTCTTGAATGGAAGTAGGTTTCAATTAGATAGATAGAAGCTTTATTGTACAATTGGTCATATGTTGCCCGGTGACAAAATGTAGAAAAAAACAATTGAATAGGTGAATACCAAAACGCATAACTGATATTTTATAAATTCTGAGAAAACTGTTTATTTATTCCAATATCACTTTCAAATCGTGGTGCTTTGTGTCATAATTAAAACCACGAAATTACATTGGTACTGAAATATAGCCTAAAACAAACGTGTATTTCTCTGAATATATAAAATGTAAAATGTCACTATACCGTTCTACTTTTTCACCTATTCAATTACAAATACCGCAGATTGAATTAGAAGGGGTAAATGGAATAAAGAGATGAAGCAAAGTATTTTTTAACAACCAACAGCTCTTGGTCTTTAGAAACAGACAAACTGCTTCAGGAACGACTTGCTTAGAATTCTCGGCGAAGGAAGCTGAGCTTCTAATAAGATGCGAATATACTTTCTCGCAGAAAGCCACACACAAAGCAGATTTTTAATTGTATTTATTTAATATCTAGTATATTATGGCGTATTTACGTTACATATTCGTTCACAAAACTGCCACTAATTTATCTTCTCTTAAACCGAACTTACAGCATTGCACTGCTGTGCCATCTGCGTCAATTTTTTATGTATGAATAAATATTAATTGTGCTTAAATAGATCGTCTGATTTAGCGTGTCTTAGTGCTTCTACTGCAAGCAAGTCCAATTGCGACTTTGTATAATCGTTTTGAAACGCACGAAGAAGGAATATATTATTCTCCGCTTGATCGATAAATACGTTTCTTGTGTTGTTTAGTGTTGAGTTTTATTTTTGTTTATTATTACTATTATTATTATTATTATTATTATTATTATTGATAACCCAAATGTCACAGATATTGTGAGCTTGCTTGCATTCGTTATTTTAAGTGAAAGGATCGTATTTTCTAATTTTGATGACATTTAGATTATGATTTAACTGTCTGGAACACTCAATTGTATTTTTCTACTTGTTATTAGTCTTTACTATGTTTCGTTGCATTAAACTTGTGATTAAAACATTCACTATGGTGCTCCCGATGAAGCAAGAAAACAATATATGCTTAATGATAATATTTTTGAAATGAGTAACAAACTAAAGCCCCGTGGTACTATAATTAATATCCGTTTTTGCCTGCTACTGTGTCTCAGAGAAATACCCAAACAGAGCTAAAAGCTTACTATAAATCTGACTGAGCTGGTTTTCTTTACGCAGTGACTTTAAATAAATGGTACAGAATCTTTCCCCTAAGCTCACTAGAGCCCTGTGTTTTTGAACTTACCTTGTGACATAACATATACTTTACCAGTCTTCTTTGTGAGAATTTTTTAAGCGCGTATTTTGCAAATATATGTGCTTATGTGACTAGAGTTTAGAATACTTCTCGTACATTTACATAAACCGACTTCGCAGCTTTACTCGCTAGATATGTAGACCTCGCAGTCTAGGACTAGAGTTCCAACATTATCATTTTACCATCGCACATGGAGATCTCTGGAAGTCTATGTGTTCTGTTCACTACATTGCAACCATTTATTACTATTATCCATCATATTTATGCTAACTCTCTAAATGGTTTTTCGCATGTGCAAATTCGAGAAACTTAATTTTATTATTTTATCATTTATTATTTAACTAAATTTCAATAAAAAGAAAAGTTAAGTGATCACAGAGCAATTGTTCTTAAGTCCTTCACTAAATATATCTAAGTAAGAACTGTTATTCCGCGACCGAAATCATTTCGTTCAGTAACACCAATTTTAAACTCCCGTTTAACCCAGCGCTGCTCAAATGCAAGATTTGAAACAACTGCCTGCGTTAGCCCGCTGCAGAGGTCGCATGCAACTCGCCTCGCATTAGACCAGGCATGCCAAGGTCGCGGGCAAGGTAACTAGCTTTCAAAAATTCGTTGACACTGCTTCCAGAGCAACTGACGCAACATTGAAAAGAAAGGATTATATCCATTTCTCTGGAGTGGTTGTACGCCAATTGATACCTGGCTAATGTCAGTCTTGTGGAGAAGTTAGTTCACAGTTATTGCAACATAAACTATATGAATTCCCAAACAAAATCATATATATATATATATATATATATATATATATATATATATATATATTTTAAGCTTTCCACCTACTAAGGTCGTGTAGAGATTAGTGTAACATTACGGTTTAACGGTTACGTTCATTCACAAACATTCATGCCCACTTTAGTGGGATACAAACACGCGACCCTTCAGGCACGAGGCAGCTACGTGTGTTCAGCCTTAACGACCTCAGATATCCAAAGTGGAAAAAGCATATAAATTATCTATTAGAATTAAAAACATCACTCATATTTGAACTTATCAAATGAGAGGAAATTAAAGTGTTTTGAATCAAAAACTTCTTGATTTTCTTAATTTTTTACTTACTTACAAGTCGCGTTTACTTACAAGTCCAATAATTGCATTAACTTCCTGCGCTCAGGGTAGGGTATTTAACAAATAAATATTTATGTCTGTTAAAAAAGTTGTACGCCCCTAAGAGAGCCTTGTTCTTTCATTT